AATTAAAGTGTAGAATGCACACAGAACTGTAGAACATAACATTTCCTACCACTCTGTTAGTCTAGACTGTGCCATGCCATGGATGATTTACGTGCAACAATGTCAGCAGCTGTAAATGGACCTTCATTATCCTACAGCTGATAAGGTCTGTACCCCAAAATTGTTTTAGAAAACCCATGGCTGACTTTACTGTAACATGGCAACATATTCTGTAGTAGCCACACTAAAGCTCTAACATCTGAAAGACAGTAGACTTTTTTCCCTATGAATAGTCCCAGAGGGACTACCAGTGTTACCTGTGTATTTCTTTAATCTGCTTTCTATTTCCTTCCCATAGAGCAAAGAACACAGGTACAGAGGAGACTGAAAAAGTTTCAGTCAGAAAAGCTGAATTATGAAAGTGCTATAGGTTACTTCTGATGATTTATGTGACGGACGTGGTAACCATAACTTGCAATATAACCCAAAATGATGTGCAGAGCGGTGGGAGTGCAGGAGGGAGACGACTCAGTGCTCTGTCCCTCAGCACTATGGCCACACTAGGAAGAGTTGATTTTGGAAAGTCCTGAGTAGCGGAGCTAGCACGGAAGATTGCATTGCACATAAAGGTTCTGTTTTCACAGATACTCCTCTTTGGTTGCATAAGCAGGCGAGGGCTTTTTGATGTGCCACCTCATCCTGATGGCTACTTGTTGCCAAATGGAGGGGCTAGTGATCACCCTCAGAAAAGCCACACAAAGAGAGAGCGATCCAATAGCTTGGATTGCCTCCGTCTCATGGTGCCCTAACCGCACAGTACTGCTCTCTAGCAGACACTCTCCCTTCGTTCGTAATCACATTTAACAATTAAATCTAGGTCAAGAGTTGAAACCATGAAGAACTAATTGTCTACATAACTGTTAACATTTCTTGCACTGTGAGGATAAACCAAGACAGAAAACCAGATATTTTGAAAGACTACAGGAAACTCTTCCAAGGTATTTCATTGTACTTTGAACAGGAATAACAAAAATTGGGGGAGAAATTTGTGAATTTGTGCAAATCTCCTCCCTAGAATTCCAAGTGTCTCGTTTGCCAAATTATGCAACAACTTCTAAAATCTTCGCCTATTTTAAAAATATAATCTACTTTGTAACTTTCTGGCTAAATGCACTGGCACTATGTTACAGAGTGGAGCTCTACAACCTTATCAGGTGATTTAGAGTGTTTTCTGGAGCAGCAGGCAAAAAAAAAGTTCAGTCCCTTTACCTTCCCGACCAATAAATTCTAGGATCAATGTCATGGATCGATATTACAACTGAGTAATATCAACTCCTGCATCAAGCTCATATGGCTGAGATGCACTGAAAATATTAAAAGTAGAAGGAGGCAATTAATGCAGAAAGAAAACCAAACCTTAAATAAAATCATTCCACTTTCTATCGCTTTGCTAAAATAAGCTTTTTGGCAGATGCTAATATTCTGAGCTAGCTGGCAGCCTGAAATGAGTTTGCGGGAATCAGGTAGCACAAATGAGTGGCTCGGAGAGAATGCGGAGCCTCCTTGAGATTATTTACATTTTCCCGGTGTCCCAGGTGTCTGCAATGGGCCAGAAAAGATACAATCCTTGCCCCCAGAACATAAAATCAGTACAGCAGTGTATATGATGCAAAATCCAGGTGTCATACAGAATGTGACTGCCAGGAACAGGATTCTTGGTATCATCACACAGTGCTGCCGCTCTAAGTGCATAGCCCCCTGCAAAATCCAGTCCATGCAGAGATCATTCAAGGGTCGGGAGCATATGAGTCATAGGCATCTGGGGGGTGACATTATGTGGGTTCTGATTTTAACTCTCATTGTGTATGTGTATGTATATACAAAATATACACAACTTAAGCTAATTTTATTGAACTGCTGTAACAGTCCCCTCTTAGTTGACTGCTCTCTGCAGAGGGCTTTAAAATGAAAGTTATAGCTATTTAACTGTTTTGCACCTCAAAGAGTGCAACTGAGACTGATCTTGACTACAGTGTAGTTGTTTGCTGAATATATCTTTGCTGTATCTCTTGACTTCTCAAAATACATGCACCTCTAAGAGCTGTTGTTGCATCTCTAGTGGTAACAGCATATATTTACCATGGAATCATAGAATGGTTTGGATTGGAAAGGACCTCGAAGACCACCTAGTTCCAACTCCCCTGCCATGGGCAGGGACACCCTCCACTAGACCAGGTTGCCCAAAGCCCCATCCAACCTGGTGTTAATATTTGCGGTATTGAGTAGTGCTGTGTTTCCTCCACAAGGTCCACAAGGTTCTAGTTCCCTCTGCAGTACCCAAGGTTTAAACCATTTACCCAGATATAAATCCTCGGGCTCTACGTAGCATATATAGCATGCTGTCTGAGATCAAAACAAATACCAAGGCAGTCATTTAAGCATGCAGCAAGTATCTAAAAATAGATTTGTACTCCTAAACTTACATGATTCATAGGTGGGTACATCAACCATCAACAAATCTGGCTTTATTTTCTACAACATCTCCCAGAGAGTTAAATATAGATCTAGAAGTCTGCAAGCATGAGCATTGTAATTAATTATTATAAGGTAAACTATGATGAAAACCTACATCATGCCTACTGTCACCAGTGAATGCAGGATGTCTTATCCCTCACTGAGAGAAGGATGAAGAGCCTCATGCTTACCAGGAGGTGAGGCAATTCCCAGAGCCAAGCACTGCAGTGGAGGTGACACACTGGCCAGACCCTCACTGACCCTCCCATGACTTATCTGAGCACTCGTTTCCTACACCAAGTGTCTTGTTTTAGTAAAATATGGCCCATGAGATCTAGTTCCAGGTGACCTTCCAAACTCTTTTCAGAAAGGGCAGGACTGGCCTCTGAGAGCATTTAACAGCATAACCCATGTGTGCCTCCTGTGTAGCATATTTCAGTACTCTACGTGCAGTATATAGGGAAGAAGAATACCACTGTCATATAATACACACCCCTTGGTTCTTACTCATTAATTACCAGGAGCAGTTCTAAACTCATTTTATGCAGAGAGTGGTTTGTATTTATGTGAGATTAACTTGATCTTGATTTTATTAACTATGGAAATATGACAAAACAGTCTACACCACTACGTCTCAGATGTGTTTGTGAAGTGGTTTAAACGTTTACGGCACACTGAAAGCTAAATGTTGAATACGATGATGTCAGGCAAACTGCTGTTGGTGTGGTAGTGAAAACAGCAGCATTAAAACAATCCCAATGTACTGAAACCAATCACTAAAATATTCTTGTTTGTTTCCACATAGCACAACTGAAAGCAACTGGCAACACACAGATGCATCTAGCCCAGTATCTAGAGAATAAAGACAAGTTTTTCTAATTACTTCTGACTTCAAGTTTCCATACTCCAGAAAGTTTTCTTCACTGTAAAGTACTAAAAAATTACATGCCATGCTTGAGGCGCCAGGTAAGCCTCTATTACTGCTGTACGATACAAATGAGAAACAATGAGTTTTGTTTAGTACTCCATTGGAATACTGCTTACTCTGCTTCAGATTAATTTGCATTTAGGTGTGGGAATTTTACAAATGTGATATGACAGCTCAAAATATTACTTTTCCCGCATGGGCAAATGTCAGGAAAAGTATCCATCTGCATTCAGAACAGCACCCAACTGCACTCTTGCCTCTGACAAGATGGTGTCTGATGTCATTCAAACAAACAGATGCATTCATTTCTTTCCCAGGGTGAAACAAGAAATATTTGTAAGTGACAGCATATTTATCACTCTGCTAGTGCTAGCTTCATCCTTGCATCCTATTATTTTTCTCAAACAGTTCAGGTACGCCAATTTGAAACCTTGCTCAATAAACATTTACTTTCTACCCTGCTTAATCCATCCAAATATTACTAGAGTCTTATCAAGGAATTTCCACAAGTATTAAGTAAGTGGAGGAAGTGCTGTGTTATTATTTGTTTATTTAGCATCCTAAAGAACACAGCTGTCCTGAACCTCAATCAATAATAATTCCTTAATGAAAATACAGGTCACAAACAGAATGCCCAGTCAGAAGAAACTATGTTCTAAACTAATCTGTGTTACTGATGAGTAAATTCACTAAACAGCCTATTAAACAAATACTATCATGCTTTCTTTCCACAATGCAAGAAAGGTAAGGGCTGAGAAGCATTCCCAGAAATGAATAAGACACAATAATTACTTTTTTTTACAAATTTTTTTACAAACAATTGTAAGAGCAATAATACAGTGCTTTGCATCTTTGGCTACCTATATTAAGCAATTAATGGTGCACAGTAAGCTGAATGACAAATAAATACTGCAGATTATTTGCTGCTGTTTACGCCTGTGCAATACAATTCTGATTCTCTGCATATGTCCCATTTCATCAGGTCATATCAAATCACATTTTGTCAGTGTTTATTAATTCAGCCTAAATCCAGTCACAGGACACACATCAATGCACTTAGTATTAAAAAATGCTTTCTGTAATTCCAGTTATTTTTGAATGTGAATAGATACATCCAATTACCCAGTGATGTACACGTCAAGTTTATTGCATTTCAAGCCTGTTTTTACTTAAGGTGTTGAGCAGCCACTTAAAATACTGTTCCCCTTTACTTTTAAATTGCAGTCCAGATACTATTAAGGCGTTGATTTGCTCTCTTTGTAAGAGGAGTGACTTGAGCTAACGCTAATGGGAATTATTGAGGCGTACCATTAAAGTTTTAGACAGCCTGAAGTTTCCAACAAGACTAAGAGGTACCACTGTGCCACTTACAGACTATTTTGCAAAAAGTAAAAGCTTAGCAAAGGAACATAGGCAAATTTTCCTTCTACCCTGCTACGATTGTCTCATTTCAGTTGTACACATGGAACAACAAAAAATTAAATATGTACATTATGTTCTGTAAGTACAGTTACCTCCAGAAAAACAGGGAGTGAGGGGAAAGAAGAGGATGAAGAGAAAAAAAAAATATCAGGTTTACCTGATACTGTACAACACTTTTCCAGTTTTAGAAATCCTCAGCAATTTGTTGTCTGTTGTGACATCATGGAAGTTTGCTCCCTTCTCATTGGCAAAGAATAAATCTGGCTTCCAAATAGAGTCCAACATAGAAGGATCCAAATCCAGGGAATCATCAGGATATTCACTGTAAGCCAGACGTGAGTCGTTCCACTGCTGTCTCAAAAAAATGTTCACTCTGTAGTCCTACAGAAATGCCATGTAAAAAGGTTACTAAGCCACTTAGTAGAAGCCCACTTTAGCTTTCTTTATGCTTTTAGACTTACTACAGTACCAGTGTTACAGCAAACATTTGTTATCCTTCGAACGTAAGAGTTGCCATTTGAAAATAAAGCAGTCTAAATGCTGTATTGAACCAAACAAACACAAGTGGCATATTTTCCAAATCAAAATTACTTCAGTGATGAAAAAAATACTAAATGCAACTTCCAATATTAAGCATAACCCTCTTTCAAATGCTATGGATTAACTCAGAGGTACTTAGAAAGTCAAAAAGCATTGCAGCCAGATAAACACAATTTTGACAAAGATTCTATAAAACTACTAATTTAAATAAATTGCTTCCAATATGTAAATCAATTATTTCTAATGTACTCATGAATAGTTGCTAATTCCAGTGAAGCCAGATTTGTACAGAAGAAATTAAATCAGCAGTTCTTATTTACTGTTTGTATCCTTTTTCTATCTACCGTATGCTTTTCTCTGTATGTTCCTTCATTCACTCCTCCCTCTCTGCATCCCATTAAAATCGTTCTAATTGCATTCTTCTGCTCAGTGGTCTGCTAGTCACAACTGGGAAAGGCAGCAATTATTTAGAGGTTCATTTAGAACCAACATTAACACTGTGTCAAGAACTGGCACAAGAAAGGGGAGTGTGAAAAGAGCTTTTAGGGTCTAAACTCTCTGGAGGGAATGGAAAGAAGCTAATGCTTATTCACCTTATCCTGAATTTCCAAAGTCAGCAAATAATAGCTTCATCTCCCCCAGCTTTCCCTGCTATTATAGCATATTTACCAGAAATTGCTACATTTAACTTGCTTGTGAACACTCTCTTAGAAATATATCTACTCTTCCTCTAAAAGGAAAAATTTTAATAATATTTATATTGATTATATTATCTGAAGGAATATATTATCAAATAATTCTGCCAACTGTAGAACCCCCTCACATTTAGGATTTGCTTTATGGTAGCACTGTGCTTTTGACTTAGAAAATGTATGAGCTGACCTGTGTTTAATTAGGCCACTGAACTGCATAGTCTAAAGAACTTATCATCCTTTAAATGTAAATAAATACTCTCACTCTGATTAGAGCTGCAGAAAGCAGCTTGCCCAATATGCACGCTCTGTGAATGAGCCCCCCCAAGCTTCAGCATTTCCCAGCCTTCGGTCAGTACGTTGGTGACAAGGTGTGCTGCTGCCCTGACAGAATATTTCTGACATCCAAACTGATGCAACTTTTTAATCCAATGAGATGATGCTTTACAATCTCACTAGGAATGTGATTTTTCTTGTTTTCTTTGTCATTTTCATTTTGCTGTTGGGTAGATGAGTCAAAACAGGAATGTCTACTAATCAGAGCAAGACAGACCTGAGAGAGATCTCAAGAACAGCACATTTATTAAAGATACTTACAAAAGTCTGTATCTGTTTTTCACAAGCTACTGTACTTTTTATGAAGGTGTTGTTTCATACAGTTAAAGATCAAATAGCTACTTGCAGTTCTGAGCTTCTAAAACGTCATCACATCTTATGAAGATACACTGCCCCTAAACATACTTTCCCTTGTTTCTTGGTCTTAGAAACTGAGAATGTCTTCTAAATTTATATGGGACAGTTTTATTTGTAAATCCAGGAAAGCACTTGATTTTCATTCTGCAGAAAAGATGGCAGGAGCTGTCGTCAGCAACTGCTGATAGAATAAAACTGCTACAACGGGTGCAACTGCCTTTAATTTTTCTTTGAAATAAGTAATGAAGTCTATGGAAAGCAGATGGATTTTTCCCCCCATGACATAGAAATCGTAAATATATCAAATCAGAAAATTGTTTAGAAATATCTAAAAATAAATGTGCTTTCGTGAACTTCAATAGTTGATGATTTAGATAAGAAAAAACTGTCTGAAAAATCCTTATTCATAGAAGAGATTGCATATGATGATATATATTATACCAAAATCATAAATAATGCCAATAGGATTACACCATGTTTTTCAATATATACCTTCATAAATATAACAGCCGTCACACCAATACACTTAGAATGGTTTGTCTCTGCAAGCTTTCTTGTCAGAAGCAAAACAGCACTGAAATCTTTGTTTATGTCTCAAAAACATTGCATATAAATATATATGTATGTATAGATATTTTAATAAGAAATAAAAATGGAAATATAACATGCAAATCACAAAACCATCGTTACTTTTTTCTCCTGTGCTTGCAGTATAAGCAGTTGAGAGGGATGTGTGTTTACAGAAGTCAGACCTAATCGTGTGCAGAATTTTGAATTTATTTTTCCTGTGCTAACATTGTAGCTATCTTCTGAAGAAAAATTCTCCTGAGAACAGTATCACAACATGGAGCTCAGGCAGACTACAGTGTGTATTTTGCAAATTCCTGAGGGTAGAAGTGGGCGGACTGTAGTAGTGCACTCCTACATAACCACGAGTACACCTGCTCCACAAATTCTTTCTGACAGCACCACTGCTCTGAATGAGGATTGTGGACCTGAAGATTCAATCATCTCAGTTGCAGCACTGATGCCAGCAATAGCTCAAGGCAACTCAGATGAACAGTTTTCCTCTGTTCTCAAGCCATAAGATCAGAGTAATACTAACATACTAAAGGAATATCCATCTGATTAGTTTTAGTAGATTTATCTGAAGATTTAGGGACTCAGTCCACAGATATTATTAGTTTGTGTTACAGGAATCTAGATAGAAATGGTCTTTCAGTAAATCCATGGTCACCAGATCTACCGCCCAGAGCTTCAGCAAAGCTCTGGGTCCCTTTGGTCTCTCTTTCACTGCCATGGCACTGCCCCGCTCCCTCTTCAGTGCTGCTTTCTGTCTCTGAACTGACGCTGATCTTAGATCTTAGCCTTCCTCCCATCTTCCCCGCCAACAGTGTTGATCATTCATCCAGGTTTTGAGTCAGATGTCTGAGGGAAACAGCAGACTTAGCTGGCCTTCCATGCATAGGAGGGGTTTGCCAAAGAGACTATTCTCTAAATCCTAAATATGAATGCTAACTGAAAAGTAGTGGTTTAATGACCTATTTCAAGGCCATGTGACAGAAAAGCACTTGGTTACCTATGTACCTAAGCATGCAAGGTGTCCCCAAGGGCTTCAGTGGGAGTCTCTTATGCATTAAAACCTTATTTGTGGATTAATCAGGATCTAACGAGCTGGTTTGTAATTACGTTTTTTTCTGGTGGGAAGATAATATCATACAGCCAGTCACAGCCAAGCTTTATTGCTCCTAAAATTTTAAAAGGAATGGAAAATATTTCTGCTAACATAAGTATTCAAAACACAACTGGAGTTTGATGCATTTACCCCAACAGAAAACCTGCTGCATAGCATCAGTCATTGATTATAGGGCATAACAATAATAATGATGTCCTCACCGTTAGTCATTTCTGTAATTAACAATTAGCTCGTCAATGTACAAACTGGTCTTAGCTTCTCCTACAGCTGATAGCTAAAAAATCCTGGTCATTAGCAACACTGAACATCTGAATTCTTTGGGACTCTGCCCAGCCTGATGTAGATTACTCATCTGTGACACTCAACTGCAGTCATGCTGTACGGTGAATTTTCTGCTGAATACTGCATGTGTGAATGCTTCCAAAAATAGATACAGAGCTTACTGGCATAACTGCTTTATTCAGCGAAGTTACTCAGGAATGTATTTTTCTCTTTCTCTGCAAGTTAAATGTCTTAAATGAAAGACAAGTGAATCAATGAAGAAAATTTCCTACAATTCCATTGTGACTCTGGGCTTTTTTTACTATTTTTATTTTGGTATAATATATATCATTATAATATGGAAGAAAACCATTTCTTCCGGAGGAAAAAAAAAATCAATTGTGATACTGTCCCATATGTGCATTATAATGCAGAAAGTCTAATACATATGCATTTTGTTTACCTAGATCTTTGGGAACAAAACTCATGAAGACTCTATGGAATTCATCTGCTTGGAGAGAACCACCACAAAATCCTGGTTTACTTCTGAATGAAAGGTTTTGGTTTTTAGAAGAATATACTGAATAGAAGAGTTGTGCTGGCCTTTAACACAGGGATGAATTTCATCCTGGCATCTGTCCTAATCAGAAAACAGAAGCTACTCCTGCTAATGTTATTGAGAACCTGGTTTACTGAATTTAGTAGGTCTGGGACTGTAATCCTGTTTGCTATGTTCATTTCTCCTACTGAAAGCTTCTCTAAACAACACCTCCCAACTTTCCAGTGAGCTGCTGTAGACCGTCCAAGTTATATTCTGTTAATGTGCCTTCGGTACCTACACATGGTTTCACTAAGCATTCCTGTCCTCTGAGACAGGAATGTCTCTATTGAATTTACAATCCAGCGGTTTAAATGAATCTTTTAGTTTTATCTCAAAACCGTCAAGAACATTTTATAGGGAAAAAAGAATCCTAGGAGTCAAACAAAACTCATTATTTATCACAAGGGATGCTAACATTTTTAACACACGATCACATCTATTTCAGAAAGACAAAGTAGATGGAACAGTAACTGATGTCTGCCTCTCAGAGCAGTTTTAAAACATCCTAAAACTGGTCACACTAGTCATTAAAGAAGTGACAGCATTAAGAAAATCAATATCAAACCATTGAACAGCATCTAAGAGAAATCTTTCCGCACTTTTGACAGGTATTATGAACAAAGCAAAATAAGAAAGCCAATAGTCTTTGTTTTCATCTACTTGAATGTTTGGCTGTTTTCAGCAGAATGTGTTAATGAACATTGGAAAGGTACACATTAACATATTTGATAGAAGGTAAAATGCAATGAGGGGATTCAATCAAAGCAATGAAGGAGTCTAATTAATGCAATCAGCATTAGGTCGTGCAAATATTTTCATTGAATGCCATCTTGTAAAGCCAGTGACGTGCAGGGGTTTTGCTACTTAACACTATGCTGATGTCTTTACATGCTAGGATCAACAGACATGGCTGGGTAGAAAAGGTTACAGTCATAGCTATCTTCTCAGAATCCTTTAAACATAGGAAAACAAATGAAGTTTTCAAAAACACTGAAAAATAAGTCTGTTGACAATTATCTTACATAAAGCCATGTTTTTTCCTGTAATTTTTAACTTGATTTTAGTTTTCTTTTAAGGTGTATTTAAAATATTTCAGATACTTACACTAAAGCATTAACTTATCTGTTTCACACACTGTTTAAGAAAGCAACTTGCCCTAGCAATAATTTGCCCTTTATCTCTAGAAAACATTAAATAACAGGGTAGTTTTTAGCATAAAAATATTTAGGAGCAGAAGATTTGTATTCCTACATTCCTTTGGCACCATTTTCCAAAAATGATGGCATGGATTTCAATTGAATTTAAATGAAGCATTTGAATATTAAATAAAATAATTCAGTTGGGCGATATATCTGCTCCTCCTTCATAATGCAAGGATTGCAAGGCAGTATCTATCCAATTTTATTTAAAAAAAAAAAAAAAAAAAAAAGTTCTTTGGTATACCTTAAGTCCTTTTGTGGGTAGCAAGTTCATTTTTAGTTACCAAGAATTCAGTCCTACAGGATGCTAATCATCTTTATTGCCTCTGGATGTAGCAAATACAGAAAGACCTGGACACTGTGTAGGAATCCCCAGAAAAGAGAGTTGTGAAACTACATTGTAATTGCTTCAGAAGTGTCCACAGCTGTCCATAGTGTCCTGAGGCAATGAGATTAACTCTTGCAAAATTTCAATGAAGGTGAGAGCACCCATTTTAGTTTATTTTGTGGCAGCAGTGACTGGAAGAGTTGAAAGTCAAGCTGCAATTTGTCACTAGACCCTTTCTAGAATGAGTTTAACGCCCTTCTTGCATAGGAGCACCTGATAATTATTATAGATTTATCACAGTATTATAAGCAAGCCATCAAAAATATCTCTCTGGACTAACTCCAGTAGTCAGGTGTATGTATGATTGAATAAATAACTGATCTTTTTTGTTCATTGTTTGAAAAGGAAGATTGAAAAAATCAGTCTTTTTAAATAGACTCAGAAAAAATATTTTTGATTTTTCTCAACAAATCTTAAAAAAAAAAAAATCACTTCTTTACTAAAAAAGAAAAAAGTTGGACTAAAATTTCCATTTCCAATTTTTTAGCTTGATTTTGTTAATCCTAAGTTTTGGCAATTTTTAAACAAAAAAATCTCATCTTGAAATGGTGCTATTTATTTCATATATATCAAAATTAAAACTCCGACATTTTCACGTTGTTTTTTTGACTGATAGCGTTCTTTGAATTCAGTCAAAATACACATTTTAGTCAGCTGGTATCCCATCATTTCCTAGTACCAACTTAACCCTCAAAATACCCAAGTATCCTTACAGCCACATATTTTACTCATTTGATTCAAGTTATGCATTCACTTCGGTTACTGATGTGGCTGCAATTCACAGAGATTTAGCTGAGTTAAACAAGACCGTTCTGTGAGCTCTGTCAGCACAGTCTGCAGCAGCAGATAATTCAGCGTGTGGTGTAAGACCCACTCAAAATATGGAGTACTTGGCAGGGAGCCCCACAGCTAAGCTCTAGCCATTCCTCTGCCTCTTCCCTGCGAATAAAACCTGAGAAAGCTGGTTTGCACACACCGGTATTTGCTGACGTCGCGGTCACTACAGGCTATGGTGCAGTCACCACGTGTGTACGTTTAGACTTGGTGGTTGAGTTTAATAATTTATGTATCTCTTTATATAGTTATTTTATATTTATTTTATTTTAATGCAGGCAGGGTTTTTGTAGCTTAATAACTTAGTAAACGTCCCCACGTCCTGAGCATCTCTATTCTACGTTACAGCCCACTCCTTCACAAGATGGCTTCAATGACCAGTCCCACTCACCATTGTAGTTTCTGCTATTGAACCAAAGCTGTTGATAAATATGTTGCAGGTAACATTTACAGGAGGACCTGCAAGTTGAACAATAAATAGAAAAATTGACAGGTTGCGTTCATGACATATATTAAGTATTGTTGTTCTCTTGCCAATGGCATCATAGCACTTACCATTGTGGTTTCTGTGACTGATCCAAAACTGTTGATAAAAATATTGCAAGTAACGTTTACTGGAGGACCTGTGGAATGCAATAAAAATGTTGCAATATACATTGAAACAAAATTACAGATCCCTCAGCCTCCGTACAATCTGGTACAGATGTGGCTGAAAACAAGTAGAAAGTGAGTTTTCCCAAGCAGATCATGTAAATAGCGATCAAAAGAAAAACATTATCAACAATAATTTAATTAAACCAGTTTCACTGGAAGTTGTTATATAAATACACAGAGCTACATCCTTCCATTTAAGGGTTTATGAGGAGAGCTGAGTAAGGGCATGAGCGTAACAGCTTCTCCTTTATCTGCAGTACCAGCACAGAATATGCTTTAGCATTGCAAACACTCCGCTGTCCCTTCCTTCTCAGACTTAAAATTAAAAGATTCTCTCTCCACACCTATCCCACTCTGTATGCAAAGGCTGGCCACTGAAATTCCTGGCAAGGGCCACTTTTCACATTGACTCCAGTCCACTGGAAATGGACTTAGACAAGCAGCTCTTCATGCACCTGATCTGGAGATGTCTGCCTTGCCGTAAACAAATATTTTAGCAATATCTGTTCTGGCATGATACAGCTTTCATTAAACAGCTATTTGTAATCTCTTCCGTCCCACCTCCTTTCCTGCTATTCAGCAGTCACTGACGTGTGGCAGAATGAATGGGGACTTAATATTTAATTAGCTGTCTATTAGCCTCCTAGGTTTTTTTAGGTGCAATAAAATAAACAGGAGTTCTCAACTGAAGCAAAAAGGATTAATGCTAAATGCCTGAATTTCAGTGACACAAAAGTTGATACAAGCATTGAGTAACAAGTGCTTTCTTCTCATTATTATTTTTAATCACATAATTTTCCTTATTTTGAAAAAAAATGTCAGTGCACAGAATACAAATACCTACATTTGGTTTCATATTCAGATCTGAAATTGCTTTACAAAAGATGGAGACATTATTACTTTCTGTTTTGAAAAATGGAAAGATAAAGTAATGTGCCTAGTGAAATCCAGTAGACTATCAGCTTCCTGAGTGGTAGACCACCTACCCTTGAGGAAACAAACAAGTTGGTTTGGGGAAGAAAAACTATGAGGGTAATATGTTTTGAGGCTGTTAAATTCCAGTGAAGTGTGTTGTTCAACTCAGTTTTTGTAAACAATTGTTTAAAAAAACCCTATTTCCTTTTTACATTGTAAATGTGTTTTCACTGTAACATCAAGCTAAAACAAGCCAAATAGTCTGCTATTCTCCCTCTATAGTATCATTTTTTTTTTTTCTTTTTACTTGATGATATTTCTACTAGCTGGGTAGCTTGACCAACATATTTCTCTACATCTAAACAAACAGAATCACTGAATTATTGAAGTTGGAAGGAACCTCTGGAAATCACCCAGTCCCCCTAGTCCATCTAGTCCCAGAGCAGGGTCAGCTAAAGCAGGTTGCCCAGGACCATGCCCCATCAAGTTTTGAGTATCTCCAGGGATGGAGACTCCACAGCTTGTCTGGGCAACCTGTGGCAGTGCTCAGTCATCCTCACAGTAAAAGGTTTTTCTAACGTGGAATGTCCTGCGTGTCAGTTTCTGCCTGCTGCCTCTTGTCCTGTAACTAGGCACCACTGAGAAGAATCTAGCTCCATCTTCTTTACTTATCCCCCATCAGTTATTTATGCATGTGGATAAGATCACCCTGAACCTTCTTTTCTCCGGGCTGAACAGCCCCAGCAATATCAGCCTCTTCTTGTATGACAGATTCTCCAGTCCTTTAATCACCTTTGTGACCATTTACTGGGCCCATACCAGTAAGTCCATGTCTCTCTTGTACTGTGGAGCCCAGAGCTGGACCCAGCACTCCAGGTGTGTCTCACCAGCACTGAGCAGACTGAACGATTCCGCTCCCCCCCGCCCCCGCAACCTGATGGCAATGCTTTGCCCAGCAGGCTATTAGCCTTCTTTGCTGCAAGGGCACATTGCTGGCTCATGTTCAACTTGGTGTCCACCAGGACCCCCGTGGCCTTTTCTGCAAAGCTGCATTCCAGCTGGTCATTTCCCAGATTGTTCCTCCCCAGGTGCAGGACTGCATTTCCCCTTGCTGAACATCATGAGGCTCCTGTTGGCCCATTTCTGCAGCCTACCCAGGTCCATTTGAATGGCAGCACAACCCTCTAGGGCATCAACCATTCGTCCCAGTCTTGTATCTCCTGCAAACTTGCCAAGGGTAAACTCTATCCCATCATCCAGGTAATTAATGAAGATATTAAACAGTACTAGCCTAGCATCGACGGCTGCAGTACATCAGTAGTGTCTGGCCTCCAGCTGGACTTTGTGCTGCTGATCACAACCTTTTGAGCATGGCAATTCAGCCAGTTTTCCATGTACCTCACTGTCCATTTTGCTAGTCTGTTCCAATAGTTTGTCTATGAGGATGTTGTGAGAGACAGTGCCAAAAGCCTTGCTACAGTTGAGATGAACAACAGCCACTGCTCTCCCCTCATCCATGAAGCCGGTCAAGTCATCATAGAAGGCTATTAGCATGATGAGGAATTATGTCCTCTTTATAAATCCATGCTGATGACCCCCAGTCATCTTCCTGACCTTCATATTTGGAAATGACTTAAAGAAGGATTTGGTCCCAGCTTCGAGGTAAGGCTGGCCAACCTATAGTTCCTGGATCCTCCTCCCTGTCCTTCTTGAAGATAGGAGTAACGTTTTTTTTTTCCCTCTGTGATGAGGCACCTCCTCCAGTCACCGTGACCTTTCAAAGATAATTAAGAATGACCTCACAATGCCATCAGCCAGCTCCCTCACCACTTGTAGGTGCTTCCTATGTGGTCCCATGGACTTGTCCGTGTCCAGTTTGCCTAAATGCCCTGTAGTCTGGTTCTTCTCCACTGAGTTTTCCTTGATCCGGACTTTCCCACAGGTCTCAGGGGCATGGGATTCCTGAAGACCGGTTTTATCAGTAAAGGCTGAGGTGAAGGAGGCATTGAGTGCCTTGGCATTTTCCCATGCTCTTTGCCAACTTTTCTTTAATCTCATGGTATTGTCTTGCAAAAGCTGCATATGTGAGCACCACAGCTTTCAATTCCTGCGTGCCAGAAGAACCTAGTAAACATGCTTACCTATGTTAGGAAAACATGCTTACCTGTGTTAGGAAACACAATACTGCACCACAGACTGCAGTTCAGCTGCACACTAAGTAGATACATGCTAGAGCACTGTATCTTGCAACAAAGCAAGTATCTCCCTCCATTTCTCTACTCAGTTGTATATCTTTTACTTGCCTTCTGCTGGTAGATGTGGAATAGTATAGAAACTCAGTAAACCTAAGTACTGCCAGAAAAACTGGTCACATTCTCTTCACCCTCAGAGTTTTCTGGGAAGAGCTTTATTGGTGAGATATCACGGATTCAATTTTTTTTTCAGATAATTTATATTTGTTTATAAACATCAAAATTGTAATGCAAGATTTGCAACCAAATGAGGACAGAAGAGGCTTATCAGACAATCTTAAAAACTAACCTTTGATAATATAATTTACAGAGTCTAAGCTAAAAGTCCAACTTTCTCTTAAACTCAATCTGCTAGTAATGGGGTTTCTAAATATGCATAGGAAACACAAGCCAAGTGAAGAAGGTAAGAAAAAGGTAACTACCTGAGGACTGAAGTTTGCAATGTTTTTATTCTTTTTTAATTTATCTTAATATCAATATATGGATATTATTACATTATGGAGGGAGGGTATAGGTGTTGTAAATCTTAAGGAAGTGCACTTTAAAAAGTGAAACATCATTTTTTCCATTAGAACATTTCACACGCTCCACTCTATAAGATTTTTCTAATCTAATAGTTAATTTAAAATGAAAGCAGTAAACTTCTGTAAAGTATAGCCAAGGTTTGAGAACAAACTCTAAAACTCTTCAAAGGCAATGGAAACATTTAATTTGACTTTACTGCCTCTAAAAAATTGAGCAAAGTGTACTTTATAATGAAATCTCTTTTTCCCCCTAGTTTTTCTTTTGCCACCTCCAATGCAACAAGGTAACAACCCAGGTGCCTTTCAGGCATATTCAAGATAATCAAAGTGATTTTCAAGTCATAAGGAAAATGTCTGTTGCTTGAAAGAACTCAGGAAAAAAAAACAAAACCACACACACAAAAAACCCCAAAACAAAACAAAAAACCACACACCAAAAAACCCAAACCCAAACCAGGCAGGTAGTGCTCAAATCCATCAGAAAGCAGATGTCTAGTATTCTGACAAACAGCTAAGACACTGCTTCTGTTCCTGCAGCTCCCATCCCCCCTGCTTCCCCAGCAAGGCTGCTGCTGCTGCTGCTGCCAGTTGACGGGACTCTCCAATACACTGCCTTCTTGAAAAGCCGTGACATTATAATGTCATACACCTCCTATGACTTCAGGGCACTCATCACGTACAGAAAGTCCTCAGCACTCATCTGCTCACCTTACCCACAAGAAACCTGAATATACTGAATATTCCCCTACGTTTGCTGTGGCGTATTGCCTCATAGCTCCTGTGCCAAAGGTGGCTGTGACCTTGCCACCATCTAATTGGAAAGTGAATCCTTTCCTTGTCAGCTGCCAGACGGGGTGAATCCATCCCAACGCGTGTGGGAGTCCCCATGTTGAGTGATGAGTGTGAAAGTGAATCCTTTCCTTGTCAGCTGCCAGAGGGGGTGAATCCATCCCAACGCGTGCGGGAGTCCCCATGTTGAGTGATGAGTGCTGAAAGATGTACGCAGAATCCCCCCCCAGCTGCTAGCTGCAGCTTTTGCTGAATATTCTCCAGTATTGATAATACACAGGCCCAAAGCTTTTTTCATTTGGTAGGTTCTTGAGAAGATTTACTTGTGTTGCCCTGGAGATCATGCTAACTGCAACTAATAATATCTGTATTCTGACATCCATCCCAACTCTACCTTTTTGGTGTAGTTTCCAGGCTCCACCTGGCAGCCTTTTTCTCTTCAGATTAATTTCAGCCATATGGCTAAAATGTCCGTAGTGGTAATATTAT